AGATGGTAACATATGTAACTATAAACCAGATGGTAAAATTTGATAGTTGAGCAATTTATCAAGGAGATAAATTGATAACATTTAAAACAGTATATGACAACTGAATTTCTCTCCATCTTGAATCAAACATTCTGTTTTTAAACTCAGTTTTCAAGTAAAATTTGAAAAAAAAAATGCAAGGAAAGGCCGCCAAATGGCATCATACATTTTTAATTTATCACCTACTGAGATATGTCAAGCCTGTACAATATCAAAACCATGCTTCACAAGTCTTAAATTGTTAGTGTTTGAACTAGTAAAACTAAATGATCACTAGGGTATGGCTTACATACAATAGACCATACACATTAAATTGATTTTTAACATTCAGATTTTAAAATCATTATTTTAAGGTTTAAGCAAAGCTGACTATGATTTTTAAAACAGACGACCAGAAGGGCAGAATTAGTAGGTTAATGTTAAACAGTGGGTTATAATCACAGACTTACTTGGTTTAATACAAAAGGAGTTTTGCATACGAAAATTTCCAAAACATCAGGGAGATCCAGGATTTATCTGAACGGACATTTGGATTTTGGCGGGCCTGATTTACACAGCACCATTTAAGAGAATTTTCCTTTTCATATAGATTCTTCTTAGAAAAAAAATCCAAACCCAATTTTTTTAGGTCTGTGTGTTTAAAAAAAGTTTTCTAGCTTCAGCCTTTTCACATTTGAAAAATTATAGAATTTTGCATTTCAATAGATTCTTCTTAGAAAAAAAAATCCAGACCCATTTTTTTAGGTCTGTGTGTTAAAAAAAAAAAAAGAAAGAAAGAAAGAAAGAAAGGAAGGAAGCTTTCTGGCTTCAGCTTTTTCACATTTGAAAAATTATATATACGGTTGTAGGGAGGAATTATGTCACTTATAGCAGTGACATCCAACAAGTTCTTCGTGTTGATATGTCGTTCAAGCTATATTTATGCTGTTTCCAATGAAAGAGAAGTTTAAAAAAATTTACTTGACAACAAAAACTAGGAACGTTTCTAGAGCTTATTGTTGGGGTCTCCATGAGGTGTGTCCTTGGTAAGAGTGTTTTTCCTCAGACATATTAACCCACAAAATAAGTAGTTTCGTCTACTGCGCAGGATGAAAAAAATCTACTTGAGTATTTTTATTACTTTGTAGTAGAAGCATCTTTAAAAAATCAGCAATCGAAATTTTAAAAAGAATATAAGAAAACATATGCCTGCTAGTGCCATTTTAGTTTGCTTGACCAAAAGCACAGGGAAATTGTATCTATAGGTCTACTTATGATTAAATAAAAACCCTATACGTAGAAATTATGACCCCATATTGCTTAGCGTTAGCTTGTTCTTATACTCAATATCGGGTCATGTAGAAAATTCATCCAAAGCCATGCCTTGCACAAAAACCTCAGATATATAAATCTTCTTCAAGGATTAAGATCATGAATACAGAATGCCTGTATATTTACTTTCATAGCACTTGGGTTCATAATTTCAAGGTATGCAAAACCCTTTTGTGTATTTTGCTGTTAGACTTTTTCTTAGGAAATGTGAAACACCTTCACCCAATCACAAACCATATACATTGCTCCATTGTCTCTTTTACACTGAGTCTCCTACTGAATCCAAATCATCCGAAGAGAGGGGGCGATACAGGTCCTGTAAGATGAAGGGCAGTATAGATTTGTTTACTTGGCTTTCTTGGGTGCCCTGTGGCTCTTAGGAATGGAGCAATACTGAATGAGCGTCCTTGGTTTCTAACGTCATCACACCTTTTAGACTCACCAAATTTGGATAAGAGGAAGGATAGTAACTGAGAAGCCATTTAAACAGACGAGAAATGGTGCTTATTTGCCTTATTGGCTTAATCTGCTTCTGAGCTTTTGCCCTCTGTGCCCAGCTGAGTTTTATATATGGCCCCTGGGGTCCGTCAATGCCAACTCCTCTACTATGTGTCTGGGCCACTCTTCCTTGAACATTTCCTTCCCATTCTGGGTCGAAGAGGAACGTGCTTACCTCACAAAATAATTTGTTAGGAACCCCAGATGGCAATCAGCAAATTCTGGTCCCAGAGCAGCAACCCAAGCGTTGCATTTGTAAATCGCATAAACCCCATAAAAATTGTCTTTTCAAAAATCTTCTTCTTGGAAGACAGAAAAAAATGCAAGCTTGACCTCCGTTCCCTTCCCAATGCTCTTCCGGTCTCCGACCACTCACCAATCACTTCTGTTCTTCCTCCCTCCACCCCTTCCTGCTAGGAGATCTCTCAGTTGGTAGCCAGGCAACCAGCTCAGATCTGCAGACTGTCTAGAATCCTGGCTTCTTTTTCTATTTTGTACCACCCACTCCTCACATCATCTGACTGATCAGATAATCTACACAAGTCAGCCATGTGGGAGTATAATGGGGAGCTTCATTCAACCTACACAACACAACACATTTCTTCCTGATGTATTGAGAAACAAAACTGGGAAAAGTTCATGGATGGAAAAGATCCTCTTAGATGTGCTTCTGTGACCAGTTAACCACTTTTAGACAGCAATTTAACTAACAGTGTTTTGGAAAAACAGGGAGGATTTTTGGTACATTGCCACCAATGCTTTTATGAAGAAAATATCTGGGATGCAGACTCTTACTGTATATGCCTATTGTAAACTACCAAAAGATGGAACATAAAAATATATTTGTAAAGGAAGGAGAAATGCTGATTAGATCATCATAATTAACAAATAAAATAGATTTTTCTTAATTGTCAAATGTCTCAATACTCCTTTAAAAATTAAAAAAAACCATGTTCCTGGTTTTTTAAATCGAGGTAGGCAGTGTGAGTGCGAGTGTGTGAGTGTGAGTGTGTGTGTGTGTGTGTGTGTGTGTGTGTGTATGTGTATATGTTTGTTGGGGGGCACAGCCGACACATTTTCCTGGCCATGTTGCTAGGCAACACAGAAGGAAAAATAGAAGTAGCTACTGTTTTCCAATTTGCAATAAAAAGAGTTAATTTATTCTTTGAAGTACCTTCTTTTAGCACTTGCCATCTTTCACTTATTTCAGTATTTCCTGCATAGGAGTATAGCCAACCATTTGAGAAGAACATTAACCAAATTTGAAACAGGATCAGTTTTTAGGGATATTCTAGGCCCATTTTAACTGGGAAGGGTTATTTGATGCAGTTGCCTCCACACCGAGATGAAAGCTTCTCGCTGAAGCAGCTGGGAATGCCTCCATGCACTGACATGGTACATATGAAGGGTGTTCATTTATGGCCTGAATTTAAAAGCCTAGAAACTGAACCATCTCTGGATTATCCAGTGCTCTGCTTACAACATGTGTTTAATAAATGTTTTCAGATGACGATAAACCCTCTGTCTCCCTGAAGCAAATGGGATTATTTTTCCCTCTCAAGTAGATGTCTGCATTGGTAGTTTAAATGACACAGTGAAGAATCTATAAGAGAATCACCCCTTATAATAATTTCCCAAAGTGCTGGCAATGTTAATTATAGAAGCCATTGGCCACACAGCTGCTGGACACTGGATGGACATCTTCTGCCTCATTTGGACAAAGTCATAATGATGCGGAGAATACAGAGGGCTGAGGAAGCGGATTCTAGCCTCATTCTACTAACAAAGGGACAGTAGGGCAAAAAGCACTTTATATCCCCGCAACGGAGTTCTCCACAATAAGCAAGCAGGGAGAGAAGCTCAAACCTGTGGCAGGGATTCTCAGTCCCTATAATTTAATCTCAACAACTCAGCATGAGCTAAATCCTGAATCTGACTTTAATTTGTTCAAAGGATGAAGAAGGATTACTATGCCATGTGTACTCTCCCAAGTATGCACTTCAAAAGAGAGAATGTCCTATGAAAGAGCACTGTCTGAGCTGCCCTTACGGAAGGGGGCCTTGCTGGGTAGCATGCACCAGAAAAGAATCGCCCCACTACCCCTTATTCCATTCAAGGACAGACGCTTAGGGAATTAAATGAATTTGGTCACTTCTTCTTTTAGTACTTCTCTAATGATTCCCGTACTTTAAAATGCCCAATTAGACTGTGGCCAAGAAGAAACCCATAATGAAAACACTCAGATGGCAGAGAGTTATTGGGTTTTCTATCTGGAAAGAGCCTCTTTCTTGTTTTGTTTTGTTTTTCCAACTGAGACTCGGAGAGGGTAACAGACTTCTCGAAGGCAACACAGCCATTTAGTAGAGGAGCTGGTGCCAAAGCCCAGGCTTCAGCAAGTAACCCAAACGAGCTACACCTGATGCCAGAAGAGCCATGGAGAGAGCACACACTGACACGTGGTGGGCCAGGTGCCAAAGGGACCGGGGAGTGACGAAGCCTCCCCCGCCCCCACTACCGCTTTTAGACAGCGGCACGTGGACACACCCTTGCAGGAGGCTTGAAGAGAAAAGCTCCCATGCTGGATGCAGTTAAAATTTATGGAACTCAGAAATTTCATTTAAAAGCACATAATAAAAGAAACCAAACTAAGAACCCAGACTTTGAGTCCAAGAAGCCACTATAAAACGTCCTAAGAGCACACATTCCTCTCCACCTCGCTTGTGAAATCAGGATAGTAAAAGGCTTTCCCTTCCCTCCACTGCACCTTCCTTTCTTCCCTTCCCCACCCCTTTTATCCCCTGCCCTGGTGTTACTGGAAAAGACAGACAGGACAGGTTGTGAGGGGTAAGAATACTAGTTCTTCCCCCTTCCTGAACATGAAGAAGCATTTGTAAATCCGGTAACTTTTTTTTGACTTTGGTCTCCAGGCTCAGTCAACTTCTCCAGTATTACAAAAGAAGCCAAAAAAAAAAAAAAAAAAAAAAGGAGAAGAAGAAGAGGGAAAAAGCAAGTAGTGATGAACAGGAGAAGGTACTCAATGTGGGGTTTCATTCACAAAAACACGTGTCCTATGGATGTATTCCCCCGTGCCAGGGACCCTAATCTGCTCTGGACCACCATTCGGTACCATAAAGCAACCCTTATTTCCTTACCCTCTGCTTCCGCAGGCTTCCCGGGCTGGTGGGTGATGGGCTTGGCGACTTGCCCGAGCGCGGAGTAGACAGCTGACTACCAGGGGTTCCATTAACTAGAATCAAAGTATCACAGAGAGAAAAAAAAAAAAATCGCTTATTAAAAAATTTTCATGACAAACCATCTTCTCATAGAAGCAAATAATTATAAAGGGATATTTGCTAAAATTCCAGACACCTTTTTATCTGTAGCCCTGAAAAGCAGCATCAGTGAGTAACCCTCTTCAGAAATTCACAGTTTTGCTAATCCTGGGTTTAATATAGCATCAGGCTACATAAAAATCTTTAAAAATGTACTTTGGTGAACTTTCCTGATGAACTTATTAAATGGTGCCTTTAACTGTGCTGACAGATTTTAGACATGTGCTTAAGGTCTTGAGACACTTGCGGTGGGATTCATCCTTAATTCTGTACGTTAGCTTCCGAGCACCGCCCAGTAGGGGTGAATGTCAGCACAGCTCACAAGTGATATTCCCAGTGCCTTGTTAAAAGAGATCACTATCTTTTTACAGTTAAGAACTCGCTTCTAGAAGTTCCTGCATCCACTTGTGCCCTGCACATCCCTCTGGCCTGACTCTGAAGGATCTTTCTTCACAGGACAAACTAATTGGCACAGACACTCAGGAACTCCTCACAGTTTGTCTCTATTGCTGCTGAAAATAAAAGTTGCTTTTTGACAGGTTTAAATCACGGGAATTCTGCCGGACTCCGAACACTTATACCACATTATCACTAAAGGCAATCAAAGACACAGAACTCAAGTAAGCCATTCTCTTCTCTGAGTAACATCACCTCTAGGAACTGATAACACGCTTTAGAAACACGACTTTTTAAAGATACCGAAGGTTGCCACTATCTTACCCATAAACAGGACAACATTTTCACACGTTTTACATCCACAGTCAATGAAGTAGAATTTGCAGTGAGATACACACACATTCTTGAGGGTGCACACAAACATTTTCCAGGAAGGAGAGCAAGAATGCATTTAACTTACCTTCTATGAGTTCTAACATGGACACAGTCTTAGTGTTTAACCTGGCAAAATCAAGAGGCGAAATCGCTTCTCAGCACTAAGCCCAGCACCCGCGGAACTGGGAAGCAGTTGGATTAGTTAAGGATGGCTAAAGGCTGCTCCCAGAGCAGGCTGAATGAGATGCAGGATTCATCAGCAGATGCCTTTTCTGCGTAAGGCTGACGTCTTCCAAGCAGCAGTGGGAGGTGCGGGTTCTGTCTTAGGCTACATCAAAGGTGTCAATTAAGCCTCATGCCAAAGCAGAGCCGTGGCAACCCCCACCCCCGACACCACTAACTCCCGGAAGCCAGCGGAGCCCTTTCCGTACTTTGCTCTGAATCATAATGAAGTGCCTCCCGGGGGCAAGACGCCCAGTGACTCATCCGAAAATCATAATGACAATAACTTCTAAAACCTGGTGAGTACCTGGTAATAAGTACACCCTCACCAAATTCGGTGGCTCGGTGCACTGTTTACTGGTTTCCCACAATGTTTGCACCAAAACTTAGCGCCCGTGAGAGTGGGAAGCGCCCTGTTTTGTCATCTTCTCTAAAGACCTTTAAAAAATGTCACATCACCCATGCTGCACTGATGTGCAGCTCTGCCTTTGAAATGCATTCGGTGACTCCTTCAAAACAATAATTTTGGAGGAGAGTGCAGACTGGAGTCGGAAGCAATGCTTTCATGGGCTTGCATTCAACAGCCCGGTCTGTGTTGAATGAGCATGAGGTCAGGCCTCTTCACGCTGGACTTCATGCCACCGGCCTCTCTAGGGAGGGCTCTGAAATAGACAAGAACTAAAGAACTGTGGCCACAGGTCCCCAGGAAGGCCAGCGGTTGACAGGATGACAAGTTTTAGGATCGTAATATTTTCTGTGTCCACTTTTCCACTTTACATCTCTACGTCACACCCGAAGGCTACACACGCTGGGGATAAAAGAGCACAAAGGCTACACAGACTGGGGAAAAAAGGGCAAATGGGGAAGCAAACGGAGTATTAACATTTCTTTTTACTTTTGATTCAGTAATTTTATCAAGCTGATGGAAAACAAAGAAAAAGAGAAAGTGGAGTCCCTGGAGGACTGCCTTAGCCTTTTTTTTCTTTTAATGTTTTATTTATTTCTAGGAGAGAGAGAGAGAGACAGCGTGAGCAAGGGAGGGTCAGAGAGAGAGGGAGACACAGAATCTGAAGACAGGCTCCAGGCTCTGAGCTTGCAGTCAGCACAGAGCCCGACGCGGGTCTCGAACCCACGAACCGCGAGATCATGACCTAAGCGAAAGTCGGACGCTTAACCGACTAAGCCACCCAGGTGCCCCCACCTTAGCCTTTTTAAAAAGCAAAACAAAATTGCAACATGACTGCATTTGGTAAGTACCTGTGATGCGTGCATCTCAGTTTATTAAAGACTTATTTTCTATGGACCAGTTAATGCACTTAAACCTTTTACATATGTATTTACAAGCATATATGCATACATTAGCCCATTTAAAGCTTACAATAACTCTTTGAGGCAGGCAGTATTATTTTATTTTATAGAAGAGGAAACTGAGGCATAAAACGATAAACAACTTCACTAGCAAAGATGGGGGCAGAGCCCCACATCTAACCAAGACAAACCAGAATCTGCACTCTTCGCCACCACATTCCACACGGCGTGAGCCTGCTAGCCTGCAGGGGAACCAGGCAACTACTAGTACTCGCAATAAAGTATTTTGAGGAAGGCTGTCTTGAGGGCTGCTACTGAAATCCTAACTATGGGGTCAAAACTGCCCTACACCCTAGAGAGAGAGTAGCGGGTAATGAAACCGAACCATTAGTGCCATTCTGCAGGTGAAAGGGGATAGTACACCTATGTACAATGAAGGAAAAGGGTTCCAAGGCAAGGGGACCACCTGTTTCGTGGCTGGGCATGGAGGAGGGAGCAGTGTAGTGCATTGAAAAGACCTAAATGGGTAGGGGTCATATAATGCAAGGCTTTACAGTTGATGTTAAGGAGTCTGATTTTTACCCAATCGGCAATGATAAGCTCTTGAATGGTGTTAAGCAGGAGCCAGGGGATCAGATTTGTATTTTTAAAAGCTCTCAAGAGCTCTTGCCTGTCAAGAATGGATTAGGGGAGAGAAGAATAATGGGCTCAGGGATAACCCTACGGAGAATGGGTAGACAGGAGGGAGTGTGGTCCATTAAGTGTCCAATGGTCAGAGTGATGGTGTGGCTGGGTGAAGGGTGCTGCAGTGAGGGTAGAGGTTAATGGAAACATTCTGGAGAGATTTCAGAGATTCAATACCATAGGACGTATGAGAGGACTGAGGCAAGAAAATGGGGAACAAGTTTAGAAGGACAGAGAACTTGGACACGTCGGATGAAACATCTTAAATGACATCAATTCCGCAGTGTAAGTGGGTATAATTTTTCCTGTTTTACATGAAGTAATTTGCCCAAAGGTGAACAGCTGGAAGGTGGCAGAGCTCGAGCGAACCTCATTTATGTCTTCTCAAGGAACTGCACACTTTCCCCGTGAGCGGCCTGTCCTGACGCCTCAGGATATGTCCAGAATTCGTGTCCCCTGTCTGCAGGGCGAAGGACTCTAGGTTCCTTTCTCTATCACTAGGGTGCCTCCTTTATCTAAAGCCACTGACTCAAAGCTTCTGTTTGTGTCACCATCTCTCTGGAAAAACAGAGTTCAAGTGCCAAACAAGCCATTTCCAATCAAACATTTTTGGAACACAACCTGATTGGAAGTTGGGAATGGCTTGTGTTCTTAGGGTCAGAGTTCTATTCAGACTCTTCCTCATGGCCACCGAAAAAGCATTAGCAACTTCTTGAAGTGGTTCTCGACATCCAGACAATATCACACACCTTGTTGTTGAATCACTGCTGGAATACATAATTTTATTTCCTAAGTAAGTCTGACACATGTATTGAATTGAGTTGTTTTTTATCCTGTGATACCAGAAGTCTCTGAATGCCAATAAAAAAGGCTTTGTCACCTATTTAATAGAACTTATTAAGATTCAAGTAACAAATGGCATTACTTTACAGAGTAAAGTATTGCTTGATTAAAGGGTTCTGCATTTCGAATGGGAAAAATTCAACTCAAAATGGATGTTTTTAAGTGGCCAAGCGGGTCTAACAATTAATTATTTCAATGTGAAAGAAACTACGTCTGAATTACTGAGGGATCCATCAGGTCTGCTGCCTTGTACCCAGTTACGGGTTTCTTTTACTCAGATCTGTCAGGGTACATTTACCTTAAATCCTGAATCCTTTGCTCTACTTGTTACTTCCTGGGGGAGAAGTGCTAAACTTTAGGCTGGATTATTCACAGATCCCATGATGATCAATCACATAACTGTCCACCAAAGAGCTGTATACAAAATCTGTGGAGGTGACTTTAAAAACCCTTAGTTTGTGTCCCTGCCTTTTGTCCAATCGGGCCATCACCTAAGCCCATTGGGAACACAACAGCATGAACTGGTCACAGGGCATTATTCCGCATAAAAGATCCAGCCTCACCTTTTCCTTTATCATTTCAAACAGATGACCCTACTCTATTTTACTCATGGAAGCCGTAATTCAGGGTTCTATAATCAATCAGTCAGCACACACACAGCATACGGCCATACACTTACTTTGTGCCTGACTCTATCAGCCTCTGTCTCCCAAAACTTGTAACTGAGTACGAATGTTATGAAAAAAACCCTAGAATCTGGGAACACTTGGCTTACCTTTACTAATCTATTGCACCTTTGAAATGACTAGGTGCCAGTGTATATTAATTTAGCAAAGCCTTTGTAAACTTAAAGAGTTTCTTCTCTTTACAGTTTCATTCTTAAAAGTCTCAGACTGCATGTGGAAGCTAAATGTTTAACTGTCTCACACTGGTCCTAAAACCAGAGCAGTGTCCAAGCAAAACTTATCTAATTACAAGGTAACTTTCTAGACATGAAAATCTACGTTGTCCTTTCCCAACTTCCTTTCTGCACTTAAGGTGGCTCATTTATTTATGAAGCTACACTTGCAGCGATGAGAGGAGAGAACGTCTGCATACATATGGGAGTCCGGTTATGTATTTAGGGGGTCGTGATTTAGGCATGTTGTTGGGGAGATCTGACTGCTTGCCTTAGACTTTCCCTCATTCCCTCCTCATAGAGGAGGCTGTAGATCCTCTAAAATCTCTTTTCCCAGCCCTTGTCCATTGCGTGCCACATTGTGGATTAGAAGAAGAAGAAGAAAGAAGCAAAAAGCAGATGGAGTCAAATGAGGCCAAGAGAAAACAGACATCTAATGGGGTAGAGGAGGGGGAACTCTCAGGGAAGGATGTGTTTTCCTAATTCTGTCTTCATAGATGCTCAACTCATAAGTAAGGCAGAACGCTGAATTTCCCCATTTGTCTACATTGTCTTCTTAAATTGAATCAATGGGCCCAATTCAAAGGGACTGTCTGCTAAGAATAATGGAAACTGGCTCATGAAGGCACATTTTTGTTGTAGGTAGACAGGAACTGTGGGGCTTCAGGAAAGGATCTGGCTCTATGAATTAATTTTTTAGATAAATACTTACAAAATGGACCCTGAACACCAGGAAACCTATGCAACTTGAACAGACCCCAGTATTTCTCAGTCCACTCATCTGGTCAATTTACCTAGCAGTTACCATGAACTTGGAAGCACTATGGAATGTGTAAAGAATTCTTGCTTTCAGAAACCTCACAACCTATGAGGATGATATGATATGTCAACTATAGACCAGGAGCCAAATCAACTGTCACAAGACTGTAGGGATGGAGAAGACCCTAAATAGTGAGGTGACCAGGGGATGTTTCACAGAGGTCCTCTGGGCCAACTGAGTGTGTGCCTTCTTTTCAGCTGAAAGGGCAAAAGAAGGCTTCTAGGACTAAAAAAAGCTACCAAGTGGAAAACCCAAGGGTTATCCATCCGGTAGAAATTTAAACTAGTTCATAAGATAAAGCACAAGTCCAGAGGAGAAATGGGAGATTGAGCTGGAAAGGAAGATGGGGGCCAAATCAAGATAGTTTTTCATATGAGAATAAAGAGTTCAGACTTTTGGGGAGACAAAAGTAATGGCAACAAGTGTGACATGAGTGTGCAGGCAGATG